CTTGAGAGGGAAGATAGATTAGGATTTTTATATTGAACATGATAAAAAAAATATATATTACAAAATTGTCCATCTGTTGTATCCATTCGTTCCTGTTAGTCATTCCTAGAGAGTTGCCAGTAAATAGTGGAAATCGGCCGTTCTCACTCCCCCCCCTCCGTCTGTGATATCTTTAACTCATTCCTCTTACTTTCCCGTGACGGGTACCCTTCGCCGTCGGTCACTGTAAAGTACCAATGTTCACCAAAGGCAAAGGTGGTGGCGTAATAAATAGTTTTAAATAACTTTAAGTTTTAGTCATAATTAGTAACAACTTGCTTAGTGGCTTGTATCAGTGGTGATAAATCATAACTACGCTATACCAGGGTAAGGTGCCTACCTCAGAATGTCTACCACATTCCGGGGTAAGGTGCCGACCTCTGACTGTTCCACATCCCAGCGTAAGGTGACGGTCTATGACTGTACCACATTCCAGGGTAAATGAAGACCTCTGAATGCTTGTACCACATCCCAGGGTCTGGAGCTGACCTCTGAATGCTTGCCCCACATCCCAGGGTAAGGTATCGATCACTGACTGCTTGTCCCACATCCCTGGGTAAGGTGTTGATCACTGACTGCATGACCCACATCCCAGGGTAAGGTGTCGATCACTGACTGCATGCCCCACATCCCTGGGTAAGGTGTTGATCATTGACTGCATGACCCACTTCCCAGAGAAAGGTGTCGATCACTGACTGCATGACCCACATCCCAGGGTAAGGAGTCGATCACTGAGTGCTTGGACCGCATCCCTGGGTAAGGTGTCGATCATTGACTGCATGCCCCGCTTCCCTGGGTAAGGTGTCGATCACTGACTGCTTGCCCCGCATCCCAGGGTAAGGTGTCGATCACTGAGTGCTTGGACCACATCCCTGGGTAAGGTGTCGATCACTGACTGCATGATCCACATCCCAGGGTAAGGTGTCGATCACTGACTGCATGCCCCGCATCCCTGGGTAAGGTGTCGATCACTGACTGCTTGCCCCGCATCCCAGGGTAAGGTGTCGATCACTGAGTGCTTGGACCGCATCCCTGGGTAAGGTGTCGATCACTGACTGTATTATCCACATCCCAGGATAAGGTGTCGATCACTGACTGCATGCCCCGCATCCCAGGGTAAGGTGTCGATCACTGACTGCATGCCTCACATCCCATGGTCAGGTGTCGACCTATGACAAACACTTGCCGACTTGTGCAAACACTCCATGAAAATAAAAGGGCCCAGTGTTTGGAACTCAGTCCCTGATGAATTAAAAAATTATCCAACCTATGCCCTGTTCAAAAGTAAATCCAAAAGGACCTAATTTTATCCTCATTGTTTCCTGCCTTTTACTTCAAACTCGCACTGTATCTTGTACTACCCACTTCCCCAATATTAGGTCTTGAGATACATATCCCTACCAGTGTAATCATCTCTGTCAACTTATGTTGTAGTTATTTGTTGATATAAAACCTTGCTACATTGCACCTTTTCATCTTTCCTGATATGGTAAATTAAAGACCTTCCCGAAACGTTATGCTTATGCGTGTTAGTAGCTCTACACGGATGTACTCAGCTTATGTAATCTCACTAACCCCTTGTACCTTCTTACAAATAAATTATTATTATTATTATTATTATTATTATTATTATTATTATTATTATTATTATTATTATGACTGCCTGCACCAAATCCCAGGGTTAGGTGCCAAACTGTGACTGTCTGTACCACATACCAGGGTAAGGTGCCGATCAATGACTGTCTGTGATATAATGGGGAGTGCTCGTCTGGCTCTGGGCGGAGGCGGACGTGTCGCCTGTGGGCTCCTGATTGATGGCTGGTGGTAGTTCGTGTTTGTGAGCGGACCTTTGGGGCCGTGGCGGCTGGAGGAATGGCTGCCCCCCCTCCCTCCTGTGAAGCGGAGGGATACCATTGGCCTAGAATTTACTGGCCCAGCGTCTTACCCTGCAGTTGAAGTGATCATGATTGATGTGTTGCGGGTGGATGTGGCGTCTGTGTGTGGAGTTACACTTGTATCCGGGAATCGAGCTGTTGTAAAATGCTTCTCCACGACTGTGTATCGTGACTTTATGGACCGTTATGGCGGGAGGACATTTACTCTGCCTGAGGGTGGTGGTTTGGTGGAAGTGTTGGACAGGTGCAGTGAGACTACCTATGTGGTGGTTCATGGTGCTCCCTTTGAGTTCCCAGACTCTCTTCTCCAACGTCACTTTACCTGGTATGGGCGGGTCTTGAGTGTCCGGATGAATGCAGTGTCCTCCGGGCAGTGGAAGGGTATCCCGAATGGGACCCCACACTGTGGCGCTGCTCTTGAAGGACCCCATGCCTTCATCTCTCCTACTTTTAGGCTTCAATGTACACGTCTTCTATAGGAGTCAGCCCCGGACTAGTTTCTGGTGCGGACTCTCGGGCCATCAGGCTGCGGGTTGTGATGCGAGCTGGGTCGGGCCTGTGAACCCCTTCAGGGAGGAGGATTTTCCCCGTTGGCGGTCCTTGACCTGTCAGAAGGTGCTTCTGTGGTGTGTGATACTTCCCCAGTCATCTGGTACCCCGTTGCCGGTCATCGATGTGGCTGTGGGTGTCGGGGTGGTTGTTAGTGCATCCCCAACTCCAGCACCTCAGCTACCCCTGCCCGCCTTGTCTCCAGTCAAGTCTCCAGTTGTGTCTCCTGTGGTGTGTGGTCTCGTGCTCCCGGACGTCGAGGCTGTGCCCCGGCCTGTACTGTGTCCGGCAGCTGTGTCTTCGACCCGTGTCGACGTGCACGCTGTAATGTCTCCTGCGGTGTATGGTCCTGTTCCCCGGGTTGATGAGGCTGCGATATTGAGTGTACGCTGCATGGAGTTGCACGATCAACCAGAGGTTCTGCTACAGTGCCTCCTGGCGGGGGTGATAATTCTGACGACCTGCGACCTCTGTCCAAGCGTTTGCAGCGAGCTTTGAGTCTGTCTCCGCCTCATGGTGAGGCCTAGGCCGACGTCTGGGATTTTTGGGACTCCGGGAGTTCGTCTTCTGTGGATGATGATGTGGGTGACGATGTTGGAGTGCCTGCGGCTCCTGTGGGCCGTGTTGCAGCGGTGGTGGGATTGCCGCCTGGCCCTGGTCCTGTATCTTCTCCGGCTGCCTCTGCATCCCCGGTTGCTGGTTCTTCGATTTAAGAGGTTGTGGCACCGGCCGAGGTTGCAGGAGAGGGTGGGGACCTGGTGCTGGTTCTTAAGAAAGATTCAGTTCCGGCGGCCCCGGTGCCTGTGGCGTCCATGTCTGTTCCTTCTGCACATGTGCCCTTGGTGATGCCGACCGCTGCGCGGCTGCCCTCTGCCCAGCCGTCCTTTGTTACTCCGCCCCCTGTGGTGTCGGCCCCTGCACGATCGCCCTCTGTGATTGTGTCCCCTGAGACTCTGCTCGCTATGTTGCCGCCCGGCTCCTGTGCTTCAGTCCCATGTGGTTCCACCTTCTGTACCGAAGAGCTCTGTGCGGCCTCTTCCAGTGACTTCCGCCCCCGTGGTGGAGGGCGCCAAGCTGGATGTTCCTGACTTCATGCATCGACCGCGAGGATCACGTAGTCAACGTTAACACGTGTGTGGAATTGTGGACTCGGTGGGATGCCTATAGGAAGAAGTACCTATGGCGTCTATATCCGGATAAATATGAGGATGATTAACTGTATGTGGTTCTTGTTTTGTGTTGCTTTATTTCTTTATTTGTTTTGATGTGCTGTGAGCTAGGAGTTCATTTTTCACGTGTTTCTTGTACCTGGTTCTTGTTGGGCTATAGTGCTCTGGTGTTTTTTCTTTTCTGACTATTTCATTGTTACCTATGTTTTTGTTACTATTTTGTGTTTTGTACGACTTTTGTTTGTGTGTTTTCTTGTTCTAACGTTTGTTCCTGTGTTTCTTGCCTTGACAATGTGATTGATGATGATGTTTTTCTATTGTTGTATTTGTGTTTTTCCAAATAAAAAGAAAAAAATGACTCTGTACCACATTCCAGAGTAAGGTGCCGGCCAATGACTGTCTGTACAACACCCCAGGGGTAAGGTGCCGACCAATGACTGTCAGTACCACATCCCAAGTTAAGGTGCCAACCAATGACTGTACCACACCCCAGGATAAGGTGCGGACCTGTGACTGTGTGTACCACACCCCAGGGGTAAGGTGCCGACCAATGATTGTACCACATCCCAGGGTAAGGTGCCGACCAATGATTGTACCACATCCCAGGGTAAGGTGCCGACCAATGACTGTACCACATTCCAGGATAAGATGCCGACTATAATTAAGTAACCATGTTGATGGTAGTGGGTGTTGTCAATCAGTCTAGATAACACTGCTTAGCGTTCTCTGCTGACGCTAGACAAATCTGTGGTTGATGTTCGTTTGTCTAACTTAGAAAACCTTCACTCTGTGACCTTACCTATTGATGCTGATGCTGTTTAAGTTGAGAAAACCTACACATTACCACGCTTGTGTTCTCAATAAAGCATGTTAATGTTTACGCTTCCTTACATAGTGCACATGTAAAGATTCATTAATTGTTAGGTCCGGTTTTGGTGAGATCGCTGCACAGTTCCCTCGTTCTCACATGTAATGACCAGTGACCCGCACACTATAGATACCAGCCACTAAAATGCGTCCTCCAATTACAGGTCATTGTCCTCTAGAGTTAAGGTTTTTACACTTATTGTGGAGTAAACCCCTTTAATTTATACGTTTTTTCAAGCCTGAAAAACAGCGAGATTTTGGGAAACAACCCGAATTAATGTTAATAATTATTTAGACGAAGCATTCTACTGTTCTTCCTTAACATAACTTTTGTGCCTCATTCTTCTCTATGTCAACTTACAGCTGTTTTTTATTATCTGTAAAAGATAGACTAAGGTTAATTAGTACACTGAATTGGTATCACTAGATGGATGAGAGCACTTCTTTAGCAGAGTTGGTAACACTGAGGTGTTGACTTGGGTGGAGCCTCAGCCAATGACAGTTCATATGTGTTGCTTGTGTTGGTGTGAGCTGTTGTGCTGCTCCTCCTCCCTCCATCAGTGTTACCTTCAGTGTCAGAAGGTGAGCTGTAGTGTATAGATGTATTTAAATTATTTTTCCTCGGGGAAGACTATAGTTAAAGTGTGAAAATAATTTAGGGATTGTATAAATGTTTTAGTAACTTCGTATAACTACAGTCTATTTGCCAAATGCAGTAGTTTTGTTGAAAGAGTCAGCAGAGTGTATTTGCACTGTATTTGTGAAAGATGCTGTGATTGGTGTAATTGTGCAATATGAGTAGAGAAATTCACAAATGTTTGTAGTTTTTGCCGATGTTGTGAGGAGGGAATATAATGTTGGAGAGACTGTGAGACGAGCAGCTCGTACTTCTCATCGCAAATATGGTTCCTGCACGCTGTAAATACTACCTTCCTTGCCATGTTGTATTCTGCTCTTTGTAGAGCAATTTGTTGGTGTTTGGTGTCGTGCAGGAATAGCGTAACAGTACAGTGGATGGCACATTTAACTTGGAGAATGCAATATTGATCCGTCTCTATTATGGGTTAAATTGGCTTCTGTGCGGACTTCCAATAACTGCGTTGAATTGGCATATTTTTTAAACTGATGGCAACACGCCCCGCCAATGGCAGGGAGTTTGTATTACAGCATTTAAAAAAAAATCATTGAGGATATCTTGATTCATTGCAGACATTAGGCCACTTCTTAACATCGTGAATTGTGTATTTAAAATGTATACCACCTCCTTCTTAGTCCGTCGGCTTGTGATTGAAGGTGGACTTCTAAGTTTTGTGAAGGTAATATAGCAGCTGTGTTGTTGTAAGTTGGTTAAGATTTTACCACCAGGTTAGAGCAGTCTTAGTGAGGTTATATTTACATCTAATGCATTGTGCTTATCGACCGTTGTAAGATATCTTGAATACATAATCACTAGGTTTAAAGATTAACAGTTATTAAAGTGCGGCATTTGTGTGAATCAGATCAGATATTCCTTAAAAGTATTTCGGATTAAAGTGTAAACTTGTATGGCATTATTTCAGATTATACTGTGCTTTTGAGTCTTAAACAGGCAGGTGTTGCATGGTTCAGTATGTGGTGTGGTAGGTCTGGTGACTTTAGTTTTCTCTTCCCAAACATCCCCACCCCAAGAGTGGCGACTGGTGGCGCTGGTTACGCTAGATTCCCTACTCTAAAATTATGTTTGTTTTGAAATGACAATTTAGTTTTTTTGGTGTAGTAATTCTATTTACATAATTTGTATTGGAAAGTGCAGGAACCGGTGAAGCTTTGAGACCTCCCCGACCCACATAGTCTACACATCTTCCATAATATTCCCCACTTAATACCCTTGCCAAGTAATTGTTCATACCGCCCCCCTTTCCCGGGGTCACGTATAAAACAGGTCATCAGCCGACACAGCCTTGACCACCAGTCATGTCACCCATGCTAAACCCTTCATCATCATCGCCATCAGTTTGTAAACATGTTTAATAAGGTATTGACATTTTACCTCACTGTTGTAATGACTGACATAGACGAGGAATTTTCAAGAGTTGACTGCCATAACGACCCGTGTAGTTGTACCTAGGAAGATGACTACGAAGCTGGCTAGTGGTCACCGGGTGGAGGCCATGAGCGAGGAGTGGCTGGCCAAGATGGAGGAGGAACAGACGCTCTACAACCACGGTATGGTCCGCCTCAGGCCCGGAGGCTGGCTCTACCCGACGCTCTTCACCAAATATGCTGACACCATCTACAACTTCAAGGTGTGTTGTCATTGTTACTCTGAGACTTGAATATTGGATATATACTTGGTCCGAGGGGGAGGGGGGACTGTACTTGGATCCCTCGCCCCCTGGTATATATGTGGGTAACAATTGTATACACTTGTTCTCTCTAATGTATGCTACAATAAGTTTCTCTTCAGTTCACTGAAGGTGACGTACTTGTGATGGGAATGCCCAGGTCTGGGACGACCTGGATGTTGGAGTTGGTGTGGACGATGCTTCACAACCCCGACCTCAACAACCAGAGGGCCGACCTGCCCATCTTCATCAGAGCACCGCATATAGAGTATGACATTCTTATTAGTTTATCAGTGTGATTGTCTTCGTAACGCCTGGGATCAATGGTATAATAACTATTGTAGTCTGATTGCGCCTAGTAAATCAGTAGGATTTTTTTAGTTTTTTAATTAGTTCTTAGCTCATTAAAGTTCTCAGAGCCCCGATTTAGATAGCTTTTCTATGGCAACTACTTTATTGTAATGATAGTTCAGCAAGTGGCAGTAAATTCGCAAATTTGTGGACGTTTGTACTTTTCTGTAATACGGCCTCACCCCAGCTTGACTGTAAAATTAGGTAATGCATTAGGCTCAAATACAGTTTACCTTCTACTTCGTCTTGTTTCACTGCATCATTTCTTCCGCCTCTAAGAGTTGTGTGAACATTCCAACTAATTTTCATTAGTGGGGAAAAAGGGGGTTGGGGATTGTAAATTCATTAAAAGATTAATATTGTTTAAGGCGGTGCTGGGCGAAGAGAATTTTTATAAAATGTTTGGTGGACACAGAGGTCCTAGCGGACTAAATACTAGTGTTGCCAAAAATAAACTTAACCTATAAATAACTTGCTGTCATAAATTTCCTGATACGTTACTACTGGTTGGGATGCTTACCCTGGCTACACTGTTAAATGCATTTCTAAAGTCACTTAAGCTTATTATCTTAAGCTTTAGCGACTAACTAAATTGTACCAATGTTGGTATATATACCAAATGGGTATTTGGACCCGTTATCTTCATGATTGGTCCAAATACTTTGGCTCCATACCGTAATTACATAAATTCAGGTCTTGCGTGTGAAACAATCGCTTCGGATGTCTTGTGTAAATATTTCTCTTCTAACACTTTGTGCGTGTGAGCAAAATTAGTGACTCGGGTGATTAGTTCTCTTAATCATTGTTGGATAATCCTGTTACCATTGATGCCAAACTGTCCTAAATTTACTTTTCACTCTTGCACTACATTGTTGTTTACAGTAAATGGTACTTTTGACAAACCCATCCCTTCCTGTATTGGGAGTACTTACAGGAAGGATGAGGACAATAGCACATACATACGTACAACTTGATTTAATTAAGTAGGATTCTATGCTATTGAATTTAGAAAAACAAATTTTCTACTTTAGTTGCTAAGACGACTAACCTTTCCTAGGTCTATTACATGCAATCCATGTTTAATTAAGTAAATGTGCTATATTGGGCATTGGAATATTTTTAAATATTTTTGGACTAAAAAGTGACTAGTGGAAAAATTCTACCCAATTGCTTAGAACGTCAATCATTGTAATATGGTGCACATGGTTTTTGTAAGTATCTTAATAGGAGAATGGGTTAGACACAATAAGTAGTAAAAGGTCTGATATTCTGTGGCAGAATATAGGGCGTGGGTATAGGTCATATTCCAGTTGTCAAGTGAAGCCTAATATTGGTTTTACGATGGTGATAGTTTTGTGACAATTAGCATTTGGTATAAATGTCTAGGTTACGTAGTTTGCGCACGTGATGTTAATGCGTGCTTGAATGTGAAGTTGCTGCACTAAACAGTTAAGTTTAAAAAAAATCATGTGATTAGTCAAGAACAATTCGGGTATCGGTTTCAATGTATGAAGGATCCTATATTTGTGCTGCTGGATGGGTTTATATAAAGAAATGTTACCAGAACTTATCGCATAACTGATGAATGGTTTAAGAAACGACTGAAATGTATTGATTCTGAAGCTATAAAATTTCAGTTCTGGTAAAGTTTAGTAATTGTAGTAATAACATTCCAGCTTTGACATGATGCTTGACAGCAAGACCATAAGAAGCACTGTTGAGAATCCTCAGCCGATGACAGAAATGTTTCGTCAAATGTGTCCAGGCAAGAAGGTAGAAGACGGAGTGTTTCTGCAGATTAGCGAGGGTTTACCTGCTCCTAGAGTGATGAAGACCCACCTGCCCAGCACCCTCCTGCCGCTTACCCTTCCTCTAACCACGAAGGTCAGAGTTGGCTACTGTAATCTAATGGTTTTATGGGAATAAAATGGTTTGATTTGCCATCACTGCTTCATGGAGCATACAAGAAAATCTTCGACTGTTTGTAATCAAACGATTAAGGTGTTAGTTAAATTAGGTACAAAAGATAAAATGTTCAGTAAAATGTCGTCTAATCCAGCAGTTCCTAATGCTTCATTTAAAGTTTAATATGAATGGTTTCAATCTAAATATTGGCAAGACTGTTTCCTTAAATAACTTGATCAAATTTTAAATGTGGGAGCTGTGTAGTGGACATGAATTGACCTTCCTTTCCCTCCTTGAGCCCCTACTACCTTTGGTTTACCTGTTGACAGGTTTTTTCCAATAACCCCCCCCCCCCCCCACACCATCCCTGTCTGGTCCATTGTTTCCGTGAGGGGGGAGTTTGGTGGGCGGCTGCCGCCGGAGTGTAATACTCATTGGGACAGTCCTCTATCCTTTTGTGGCCTTGTGCTCCTGCTGTTATCCTCACGAATTCTGCAGGGCGACTTTTCCTTTTCCTTATGTTTCGTTTTTTCTCCCTCTTCTCCTTTCCAATTATTTGCTGCCGACTTTTTGCCTGTTTTGACTATTCTTTTTGGCCTTCTTTTGATTTGTCGCCCGGGTGTTTGAGGAAGCATACTCTTGCACCCGTTGAATTGTGGTAGCCACGTCGCGAGCGAGGGTATGCTTTCATTGTCAATCCTTCTTTTGTCGCTGAACCTGATCTTGACAGACTGACGGTTCTTAAGGTGGCATTTGTTAAGTGTATACTCGTGACGCACCCCTAGGGGAGCCCCCGGCAAGATTGGCAACATGTCTCTTGTTGGGTGTCCTGCCTCTAATTGTGGGTGTGGGGGCACATTCGTGAATGAAGGTCTTTACTCTAGCTTTGTCACATTCGGCTCTTCTACCTTCTCAAGCTCGTGGGAGTGGGCGACCAAGCCCCCGACTCAGATTGTTGGAAGACCGGGCTCTGTAGGCTCCAGCTGCATTGTGCCCCGACCTTGCTCCTCCTCTGACCCTCCTTACTACTCCCTTTGACTCCACTTCCTCCTCTGTAGTTGGGTCGGGCCACAAGCCTACAGTGGGAACCACCTCATCCCCCTTTCTTGCTTTCTAACTTGCTGATATATTACCGTGGTATCGAGTCTGAACATGCCATGAAAGTTGAAACTGGAGTTCAGGATCTTGGGGTACTTGAAATCTTCTTAACGTATATGGCTGCTCCCCCTCCTTGTCTACCATGAGAAACGGTAGAAATCAGTTTGATATTCGGCTAATAGTTCTGTTTTCTACATTCATCCTTGTTTCGTAAAGTGCAATATCTAGTTTGTTCAGATAAGAGCACTTAAATAGCATATTGTTTCTTACTCTTAACTGTTAGTATAATATACCTTAAGTGTTTTATTTTGAAGCTCTTCTCCTTCCATGTACGTTTTGCCAATTAATCCCCCCCCCACCAGCACAAACGTTTACTGCCCCCTTCATGTCAATTCCCATACCACTAACTATTAAGTGTAACCAAAAACAAACCCCTCCAACCATGTTTCCAACGAGTTGGCAGCCGCAACAACCCCAGTTCTAGATAAATGCACCCAATCCCAAGCATACATGCCATTTCTTTAAGTGTTCAGGTACCAATGAATGATATTGCATTTGATTTAAAATGTCAGGTCGGTAATTGACAGTCCTCGACAACCATAAATTTCGAACTCCCTTACTCTAAAGAATGCCACGTATGATTGGGAGTCATCCCTTGCTCCTAATTATATGGCGGTCTTTAACCTCTGTATCAGTTCCTAACTCGTCCTACAGCATTTCCACCTGCACTCAAAAGTTTCCATCTCCATCCATATAATCATACTTGTTTACTATATCCCTGCTAAGTATACTATATTTACTACTATCCCTGGATAGTAAACCCTTAATTAACCTGTTCCTCCTCCTGACACAAGGCTCTATCCAAATACCTTGCCTGGGAATCTCCCACAACCAAAATTCACTTAGCTGCTACTTTTACTTGGTGAGCAGCTTGAGGGACCGGCGCTCATTTTGTTTTGTCTTTCAGGCAAACTGCTGGCTCCCTACAGCACTTTTAGCTCTTTTGCTGTGTTGGAAGGAAGTTTTAGAACACGGGTAGGAAGCCTTGCCAGTCTCTTCTTATGACCCCCTGTCCTTTACGACATTCAAAGGAAAGGTCTTCTTAATACTGGTCTCATCCTGCGTTTCGTCTTGACATTGTTTCAGCTGTCATACTTCCTCCTGTAGGAAATCTGTCTTAAAGATCTCCGCGTAGATTCATCAGTTCCTTAACTACACCTCTGCCATAGGTGTTGGAAATTTGGACATGTCACTAGAGCATCACAAGAGGTAGTGTCCCTGTGTGGAGACCTCGGCCATTACAAGATCGAATGGTTTTTTCTCCCCAGTCTCGCTGCATGACTTGCGGTGACGCCAACCCTGCCTTCTTGCGCTCATGCATACACTAAGAATTTGAGAAAGCCATTCTCAACACTAAACATTGTGATCAGATTTTTCCCCTGGAGCAAGATGCAAAGGTAAATATCTAGACTCTTTCTGACATGACTTGAGCTAGTGTTGCATCACTCTTCTCCTCCACCACTCGCCCCTTTCTAGCTTCCACAACAGTTGCCAGGCCTTAAACCAAAATATCTCCAGTAACTCCGTTTTACGATCCTCCCCATTCTGACCGCAGAATCTTCCTCGCGGTTCCCTACCAATCTTCTCCTGCCGTTTAGTTCATTATTTCTCCATCCTCCCTCTTCTCTCCGCTGCAGCATTCCCTTCCCAATCCCATGTCTATTCTCGGCCCTCATTTTTATTTCGCAGTTTCACAACACGTGACCGATGTCATCCTCCTGCCGGTCATCTCCGTGTTCTCTCACGACCTTCCTCTCCTACAGAGACTGTGGAGGCTATCGCACAGTACATGTCTCCTGGTACTTGTACATGTCAGAAGTGTAAACCTGGATCCTGTCTTGGTTCCCAGCTGGTCAGGAGCAGTCTGTCGATCCCCCTACTTTCTACTTTTAGCTTTGTCCCAGTTTCTCCTCCCATCTGTGGTGGAGTAAACTCTTCCCCACTGGAGATGCCCACACAATAGTTCTCCATCTGACGCTTTCTTTGATGAAATGTATCCCACTCTTGTCTTTATCTTGTATTTATTTGGCTTCCATGCGGCGGTTCTTGACCTCGATAACATTTTTCCATCCTTGTAACATTTTTCACCCTTCCTAGGCGAGTTTGTTACTTCTGATCTGGATCTTTAATTTTTTCTTCGTCTCGGGACACGCGGAAGTGTTCCTTGCTGGAAATCGGACTGCTCGGAGTGCATGGTGTGTGCTGTAAGCGTGCAGCCTGGAAGAAACGCCAGCGCCAATAAACGCAGACTCTCGTATTTGATTTGGTAAAGAGTGCAGTGGCCTATGGGGCCATCAGTGCGGCTAAGCAGAAGTTTGAAATCTTCATTAATTATGATTGACACTGCTATCCCCAAGATCTGAAAAATTGCCTAATATAACGAGTAAGTTTGTTCTAGATTTCTCCAGTATTTCATCTCCAAGGTTCTGTTGTGGCAGATCAGATGTCGGTCGCGTCCGAACTAGGTTCACACTTTTCGGCTGTTGGCTCTGTTTCATTTATTCCTCCCTCTGTCCTTTTTCGGAATCCCCTTCTTGAATCTTGTCCCTTTGCCCGTTTTGCATACATCTCCAGCTATCCCAAGAATTTTCTCTCCTGCAACTCGTCTACTCTGATCGTCTGCTGTTCTATGGCAGCGGGCTCTGATGACATTCAGACGCTATGGCATCTCCCTCCATGCACACTTTATTAGCCGAATAGTTATAACCGTATCTGGGGGAAGGGAAGGGTCGGGTCGAGAAGGGTCGTCAGTTCCGGGGAGTGACTTCAAGCAGGTGTTCTTCCTTGTCAGAAATCAGGATCACTTGGGACGAGAGAACCTGGATATGACGCCACTTCGAGATGACACTGTCCCAACCTAGTTATTTAGGTCTTCGTGGCAATCTCCCTCTTCCTGCAAGGCTCCCTCTTAGTCATTCCCTTAGAGCGAGGCTTGGTACCACTCTCGCTACCTATTTTCGACAGTATGAAAGGGTACCCCCAAAGCAGTGTTCTCAGCACTTTATTTTTCCTGGTTGCCTTCAATGGTCTTCTTTCCAGCCTTTCTTCTAGGCATTTCTCCACTTCTATGTTGATCTTGCCCCTCTGCTATGGAATTGAAGCAGTGTCATCCTGGGGCCACCATTTATGGCTCAAGTTTTCTACTACAGATGTGTAAAGGTTACGACTTTTACTAGGAAGAAAGTTTCTCGTCCTTCGTTTTTGCGTTATTGCAGTCCTCTTTGTATACAGTTTAACTTTCGCGGTTAATATTTGACAAGATTGTCTTGGTGGCCTCCCGTCTCTTGCCTCGCAGTTGAATGTTTTAAGGCCTTTAACTTAGTCTTGTCCAATACTACTTGGAGAGATGTGCTACTCTATTTACATTCCTCTCGCATGCTGTCGAAACTCGGTTATGACTCTGGTTTACTAGTCTGATTCTCCTTCAACTCCTCGTCTTGATGATCTTCACCATACTAGGTTACACCTCGGCTCTGGTGTTCGGGCCGGTACGGGGTCGTTAGACTCCTGACCCTGTGTGTTTTTACTGGCATCCTGGCTTTAAAAGATCGTAGTGATCCCTACTGTCCATGCTACCTTGCGCAGTCCCTACAACACCGTCACACTCGCTTGTGTTGTGCTTTGATAGTTGCCTCTTCCGTAGGCCCCTGTTCCTCTTGACCTTTTAACCGTTTTCTCTCGCTTGCAAGATATTGTTAGTTGCCAATATTTGTGTCGGTCCATCCTAGCCCCCATTGAGAGGTCACTATTACAAATCTTTGCAAAACCTAGACTCGCATTGCAAAGGCTTCTACTCCCTCCTACAATAGTGATTTTTTCCC